GGGGGGGGGGGGGGGGGTGTTTGGGTAGAGTTTAGGGTTTAGAGTTTAGGGTTTAGGGTTTAGGGTTTAGAGTTTAGGGTTTAGGGTTTAGGGTTTAGGGGTTTTTTTGAACGCCTTTTTCAGGGGTTTAGGGTTTAGGGTTTAAGGGTCAGGGCTCAGGGTTCTGGGTTTAGGGTTACGGGCCTTTAGGAAGGGGCAGGGCGGGGACTGTGATTTAAGGATTAGGATAAGGTTCGGGTTGTCCTTTACAAGATAGTTGCAGTAAGGAGCCCAAAGGAAAAATGCATTGGCAAGTATCCCGACCCCTTCTTTCCGGTGGTTTAAACAGGCTCCATTATCGGTGCCACTTCAAACAAATATAGTCAGGGTCTTTATGTTCTTCTCCCCAAGAGCATAGTCTTGGCTTCTACAAGCTTCACAGAACCTTTAGGGTCGTAGGTATGGGGCTCCTTCGAGGACTCTCTATAGGCTTGTATGAAGGGTTTTGCCAGGATTTAGATCAGGTCTAGGGTTTAGGCTGTAGGGCTGCGGGCTGTGGTCTACATGGCTCAGGATTTAGGAGGTTTGGGTTCATAGTGCCGACAGTAGGAGGCAAAGAGCGTTGAGGCCTTAAGTTTGGGATTTAGGGTTTACGCTTGACGCTCTTTGGTTGCGACCTCGGGCGTGGAGCTTAAGACTCTTCCACCCAAGTGCCCAAGGCTCTAAGGTGCAGCTAGACTCCCGATTTTCACATGGCTTCGGGGATGCTTTCCGGAAAGACCTAAAACCGGCTACCTCTGCGCAGTTGAACGAAACTTCTCTCCGAGATGCAGTCTAGCCTGACCATATCGACAGACCCTTCAAACCAAATCCTAAGCCCGAATCAGGCTAGGCCTTGCCTGACGTTGGTGAGGTTCGCTGGCGCCCGCCCCCCAAAGAGCTCATGACCCCATGAAACCACGGAGCCGTCGTCCACAACGGCCCCAAAAGCAAAGCCCGTGGAATGGATGGAGCGAACATTCCTCAGTAAATGCTTCACCGACTTGGTGTCAGCCAACTCCTCTCCCCAGGTGACCACGGACCCATCTGCCAAGATGGCAGCGAAGGAGCCAGGGGCTGCAAAGAGGCTCTCGACGTGCCTTAGCCTGGGCTTTGAAGTCACCGGGGAGAAAAAAGTATAGACTTTTATTTCATAATGGTTCCTTTAAGGACCCTAAACCCTAAACCCTAAACCCTAAACCTTAAACCCTAAACCCTAAACCCTACTCCAAAGCCCAGGTAGCTGGTCCTGGACGGCACTGCAGTCCCCGCCTCGCTCCGGGTCACCCCAGGTCAGCACGGACCCGTCTCCGGTAAGTAGGGCCATGGAGGTGGATCGCCGTGTCCTATACTGAACTTAGACCCCTAGCAAAATTAGAATTTTAGCTGCTTCTTAGGGTTTATAGTCTATAGTAACCAAAGATTACAAATTATTTCTAAGTACCCCTAAGTGTCGAGATGATCTCTGGTTGGCGAAGGACGGCCACAATCTGCATGCCATCCGTCAGCTGTTGCTGACGGAGCGTGGCACGGGGCTGAAGCACCTCGCCTTCGGCGACTAAGCGACAGGGGCCGATGCCCAGCTCCAGCTGAACCCTCCGCCGCAGCTCCTCTTAGGACAACATTGACATAGGAAAACTAAAGGTTGTTTCTTTAAGGGGCTATATCAGGTTAAAAAATATACAACATCACGCGCCACACAAAAGCTACTGGCTACTTGCTCCAGGTCCTCCACTCGGGTCTCAGGCTCAGCACATAGAGACGTCTCGTGACCACTCAGGAGTGACACATGCAATGTAATCGACATGGGGGCAGCCCGGTTGCAATTAAGACGTCTACGAACTAAGTAGTGCTAAACTTTATAAACCCCGAACAACTGGCGCAGGACCCCTAAACCCGAAACCCTAAACCCAAACTGCTGCCATAGGACCCCTAAACCCTAAAACCCTAAACCCCAAACTGCTGGCATAGGACTTGGAAGGGGCGGGCTGTCCGAAGCTCAAAAGGCGTCGAAGCACCGGGCTGGCTGAAGTTTTCGGGGAGCTGGGGTGGCTTCAGCCCCAAAGCCTTTAGGGCTTAGGGGGTTTAGGGTTTAGGGCTTAGGGGCTTAGGGCTTTTAGGGCTTAGGGCTTAGGGCCTAGGGGTCAAGCTTGTAGGGTATTAGGGTTCAAGCTTTAACTTTAGGGCTTTAGGGCTCAAGCTTTAACTTTAGGGCTTTAAGGTTCAAGGAGCGTAGGCACTGAAGCTTTGGGCATTTCCGGCAGCTCTTCCGTTAAACTTTGCCTTAAGCCCCGAACCCTAAACCCTAAACTCAAAACCCTAAACCCTAAACCCTAAACCCTAAACCCTAAACCCTAACCCCTAACCCCTAACCCCGAACCCGGACCCCTGAAGCCTGACCTAAAAGTTACCAACTCGCGATCTCCTGGCAACCACCCTCCTCATGGCCCCGAGTCCTTTCAGGTATCTCAAAACCGAAATCCCCAACAGACGGGTTTAGGGTTTAGGGCTTAGGGCTTCGAGTTTAGGGTTTAAGGTTAATATAGGGGCCTTAATAAGTAGAATAGGGCCATAATTCTAATAAGGAGCCCCCAAAATAATATAGGTCATTACTACGGCCCCTAAAGTATGCCCTGAGCCCTACCCCCAAATTCGGACATCTTACACCCTATCTACCTTCCTTCGGCGGTAAGCCCCCCTGAAACTTTTGCTTCGACGGAAAAGCAAGAACCTTCAGACCGTTGTACCTCGATGTAGGCCCTATCGGGTTTAGAGTATGCCTATGCCCGTGGTCCTTCCTATGTGTTTACATGATAGAAATCCTGCATTACCTTAAGGACCCTGAACTCTGGGAATTATGGTATTTTCCTTACTATGGGTAATGCAGGATTTATATCATCAACCGTAGTTGCCGCTTATGGTGATTTTCTGATGTTATCATCATGGCTCTTTCCGAGGTCTGCTCTTCTTCAAGCCCCAAAGCCACTCAATGCCTTCTGAACCCGACTCCGCGAACCCGAAACCCGAAGCCCCTAAACCCAAACCCACCAAACTCTAAATGACCCCTAAACTGCAGGGGACATGGCCCGGAGCTCCGGGGTGTTTAGGATTTAGGGATTGGGCTGTTGAGTTTAGGGGCTAAGGGGTTTAGGGGTTTGGGCGCTTGGGGGTGAGGGTTTAAGATTTAAGGCTTTTTGGGTTCAAGGTTCAGGATTTAGAACTTAGGCTTTAGGGTAGCCTCAAACCCCATGCTCTCCTCGTAAAACCCCTGCAAGGGCCCCCTTCGAAGAACTCCGGTTCCTCTTTCTCGCGCTGCTACCCCGAATCGCCTGCCCAACAGGCCAGGAAAGCCCTCACCAAGGCTGCAAAGGCCGCGCCCACCAGAGAGCATCGGCTGATTTCCTCGTGCTTGAAACTCTCCTCGGTTGCCGTTATAGGGTTTAGGGTTTAGGGGTCTACCAGTCTAGGCCCCAAGATACGTCTCGTGAACAGGTACGGACATAAGACTATCAAGAACATCGGAAGGAATCCCAAATTGCCGCCAAGTCTCGGCGTGTTCCTCCACCATCTGCTGCACAGCGAGCTGGCACTCCCAGCTCACTTCATGGGGCTCGAGGGCGATTAGTTTTGGCAGTTCTGGGCCGGATAAAACCACTTCCACAGACTCCCATGAAGGCTCTTTGTGCCCCATCAAGCTCAAGATAGCCGAGAACACGTGAAGCAAGGGGATTGGTGGGTTTTTAAAAATCATGATCTCTTTGATGTAACCTGCACTCAGCCCGCCAACACTCTTGCGAGCCTCCTGCAGGCTGTTGGCAGCTGCTTCCGTCACAGTCCGGCGAACCACTTCCAGAGAGACGTCTTCTCGAAGGACATCTGTGGAGATCATCGGAGAGCCCTGCAACACCAAGTCCGGGCGGGCGTCATCGCGGAACATCGCGGCCAGCTGGCTCTGAACAACTCCCACAGGGCATGGACCTTCCTGCTTCAGCTCAGTAAGTAGCTCGGCACTCCTTGGTCGTCCAGTTTGCTACGACAGTCAAGATCCGTCTGTGGGACTAGATGAAAATCCCATGACAAGGGGGTTACCCTCATCCCTGCCCCAGCCCGAAATCTTGAGCCCGAAATCCGGACCTTGCCGCCTATGCCAAGGGACTGGTCTAGGTATGTTTCTTTGTAAGAGACGGTTAACGCAAGGTCTGTACACTCTTCCTTCGATCAGAAGGTAAGCAATGAGTGGCATTATCAAAGACAGCACAAGTCAAAAACAAAACAAAGTACCCCGAAAAGAGACATATCCCAAGTAGAGTCTCGGCTTATAATTCTAGGCCTTACGCCCTAAACCCTACATAAACCCTCAAGCCTAAACCCCACCCCTGAGACCCAAAACCCCCAAACCCCTAAACCGCAAACTACTACAGAGGCCTTTACAATTAGAATAGGGTTAAATTCTACGTACCATAATCATAGTAAAGAACCCTAAACCCTAACATAATCAGTAACCCTAAACCCTAAACCCTAACATCATAAGGAGCCCTAAACCTTAAACCCGAAACCCTAATATGATAAGGAACCCCAAACCCCAAACCCTAAACCCTAACCCTAAACCCCAACATGATAAGGAACCCTAAACCCTAATCCCTAATATAATAAGTTAATAAGGAGCCCTAAACCCTAAAC